GGTGGCGCCCACCACGGCCTCCTTATGCAGCCGACTGGCCCCGCTCTCCTCGGACGCCACGAAGCGCGTCCCGACCCAAACGCCCGCGGCCCCCAGCATCAACGCCGCCGCCAGACTGCGGCCATCGTTCACGCCGCCCGCCGCGACGACCAGGGGGGGCAGGCCCGTCAGCCGACTCCGGTACCGCTGCGCGACATCCACAACGGCTGGGATGAGTACCGAGAAGGGGATGTCGCCCGTATGCCCGCCGCCCTCGCCGCCCTGCGCGCACACGATGTCCACCCCCAGCCGCAGCGCCTTTTCGGCGTGCTTGGGCGCCCCGACCATGTTCATGACCAGGATGCCCGCGTCGTGCAGCCGCATGATGACGTGCGCCGGTGGCACGCCTACCGCCGACACGAACAGCTTCGCCCCCTGCGCGATCACCACGTCGATCAGCTCGTCCAGTTGCCCGTGCGTATAGTCGTGGTTCGTCGCGCGCGCCCCGCCGCCCACCTGCGGCAGCGCCAGGTCCACCCCGAACGGGAGCGAGGGGTCCCGTAGCAGGGACTTGAGTTCCGTTAGGATCTCCGAGAGCTGCGAGGGCGTGTAGCCCAGTCCTCCGACGGTGCCCAGTCCGCCCGCGTTGGAGACGGCGGCGGCCAGCGGCGCGCTGGAGGCCCGCGCCATCCCTGCTAGGAGGATGGGGTGTTGGATTTTGAGGAGGGTGCAGAGCGGGGTTTGGAGGGACATGATTGCTGTTTTGTTGGTTTCCTGGGTGGGAATTGGATGTGGTTGGTCGGTAGTAGCTGGGCTTTTGTTTGGTGGTGGTGGTATAGTAGTAGCACTCGCTGCTTGCTGGTCGTGTAACGTGAGATCTAGGAGATTGCCAGTAAATAATGACGAGGTGACACTTAAGATCGAGATGGATTATAGAAGCATTGATGCATTGCTCATGGCCCATGCCAATATTTAAGTGCCCCGGGTTTAATCGGTGAGGTGAGAGTTCCCCAGAACCCTCTGATCGACGCTGTGCCTGAACAAATGCGGGGAAGCCCCCGACCGGACCGAGGCACCATCCATCACAAGTTCGCTGCTCGGCATATTTGGTGTTCTTATGCTCTGCTCTTATGCTCTTATGCTATCATCTCGCATGTTGCCTTTCTGCTGGACTACACCTTACTGGCTGTAATAGGCTCGGTAGTTGCATGATGCAGCTAGTCCCGATCTAGGCAAGAGGAGATGTCTGACCCAAGTTATACAATCAAAATAATCCATACTTGTTGACAGTGAAATGCGAATTTTGAGAAACACCAGTCAATCAAAAGACAACAGTCTGCGCGCAGCGCATCGTGCTCATGAATCCATTCTTACAAAATGAAAAGACACAAAACAATCGACAGTACAACGAGACTTGATTCCAATGTCGTGCTCCTTCCCGCCATCGCCGTCTGTGTTGCTTGAAGCACGGCCTGATTCTTCGTCGCGGTGCCCACCAAGACGATCACATTCTTCTCCGAGCTACTCAGGTACAATAAGTCAATGATCCGCGTTTTCCTAGGCCTCGAGGTGGCTTCAGGATGCAGCACTTACCCTGTATCCCCGGTGCCTCCATTCTCGCTCAACTTCTGAGAGAAGGCAGTCGCACCGGCCGGGATGGTGGTTGTCGTGGTCGGTCGATGAACAGGCCCGGGAGGAGGCTGATACCCTACCGCCTCTAATGGTGCTGTCGCAAGCGAGGCTGGCAGGCTTCTGCGCAGGAGGTTTGATGATGAATCGTGCAGGAAAATTCCCGGATAAGCTGAGATGAGAGCGCTGGCGAAGAGGCTGATAGCCATGAAGTTGCGCAATAGATAAGTGATTAGAAGCGAGACCCTCATCTTCGGGGCAGGTAGTGATGACAGGTTTGATTCGAGTTAACGCGATGTCAAGGATAAGGAGCAGCGGGTCAACTACCATCGGTGAGTGATCAATAGCCCGCGACGCGAAGGAGGGGCATCGAATGTCTATATGTAGGCGATTGGATTCCAGCTTTGGACGATCAAGCATGCGAAGTATGTTATGTCTGAGATGGCATGGCAAGAGCTCGGTACTTTATTACTTGGTTGACTATGGGTCGGTCATGTAGAGCTCCTTCCTGGATACCACAGAAAGGTGGCCTGGAATGGGAGCATGGTTCAAAGATCATTTCAAGCCCCCTACCCAGGCCAGAACTACCATGGCCAACAAGGTATAGATCTCATCATGATGTCGGCCTACAGGCGTGAACGAAGTGTTGAGGGGTGCGAACATGCCAGGTTAAGCCGGGAATGCTCTCAAGGCACGCCCTATCTTCACGCCAATGCGTGATATCTGTGGCCATTTGACACAAACATAAAGTTAGGTGTGGGCATAAAATGATCTTTTTATGACTGCTCCGTAGATTTCAGCGAAGTGTAACATGACTACCCTGACTGCTTCATCGATCGATTGTAACATGCATCGAAGTATTCAAGTGGCTGGAAGCATATTGAGGGCTGTTTCAACAAGACGTCTGTGGATGAAGATTTTGAACTAAGCGAAGAGTATTTTCATGGGTACTTAATGCAACCTAAGAGCAATTGCTACCAGATGCAGTATAGTTGGTTGTCAGTAGCAAAGCAACAGGTTGTAACTACTAACATACTCATAGTATGTACTTGGTTTCTCTGCCGAGTGTGATGGGGACCAACCCCAAAGCGGGACTGTAATTACCGAACGCCAAAAGACGCGTGGTTCGCGTTGGCCGACGGACAGACCCGAATACAATCAATACACCGCAGCTGCCTCCGTCCGCTGCGTCAAACAACTCCCCAACTCGCCTTTGCAGCTGCTATCTTTGCAGCTTCTATGCGTCACACATACAGGCTTCGAAATGACGCCCAACACTTCAGAGAACCAGTTTCTTCGCGCTCCAAGGTTCGCTTGTCCGCGTATTACATTAGCGATCGACGACATCACTGACACCTTGTCCGGATAGCGATCAGGACTTCAAGCCCGTCTATCGTGAACCCTCCTACTATAACCCTCTAGATACATTCCGACTGCCCAGTGGACAAGACCGACACTACCAGCAACAATATGGCGACATGTATTTCTTGCGACTGGCCAAGTTGAAGCCTGCCGTCGAAGAAATTGCCGCGGAGGCGTGGGAAGGATTCAGCGTCAGTACAGCAATACCCTTGCTCATGGTTGAGCAAATCTCTGATACTGGGATTTGCCCAACCGACCCAGCCTGAGAGCAAGCTGCTAACTGCGCTTTCGCTCACAGATTGCGGGAGAAAATGCACGTCGTGTGGAAAGAGTCCTCGATGTACGACAGGGAGAGCTCTGCTGGGTTGCAGGAACGATCTACATGGATATGCCACTGAAGCCTAACATTTTGGATGATTTGACCAAAGAGGTAAGAAATATCCAATCTCAAACCATATGCGCGTGTGTCCTTCTACTGACTTCCCATCGAAAGAACTACACGCTCGCTCCGCCTCCTCGACCGACGTATCAAGACCCCTCCCACCCCGAATTGACACAAATCATGCTGGAAGATGAATCCGGACGACTGCGTCTGACGGGCAACTCGCTCAATTCTACACAGCTTGCGACCGGCGCTATTATTGCGGTCCTGGGAACGGAGAATGCCAATGGCGATTTCGAGGTCATTGACATCAAGGTGCCGGATTTGCCTCGACAGCCTCGTCGCTGGGAGAGGGATGAGGTGGATTCTACACAGAAAGAGTCTAGCAAGGGCAAAATCGCATTCGTTAGCGGTCTCAGCATCACAGGCACATCGAGTGATACTCTCGCATTAGAACTCTTGACAGACTATCTCCTGGGCTATGCAGGAACCTCTTCGACGGAGCAGGGCGACAACCCACCACCGAACCCCTCTGCGATCACGAGACTGGTCATTGCTGGAAACTCAATCGGTACCAATATGACTACTGATGCTAGTGCCGAAGATGCAGCCGCTGCGAAAAAGAGAGCGGGCACCAAGAAGTACGGATACGACGCTTCCGCATACAACGCATCGCCAATCACGCAGCTAGACTCCTTCCTGGCAGAGATTTTACCCAGCATACCTGTCACTCTGATGCCCGGTGATACGGATCCCGCCAATTTCTCTCTCCCACAGCAAGGCATCCACCGTGCCATGTTCCCAAGGGCCAGAGCATATTGCGCTCCGCCACCTGCTGGAGATGAGAAGCAGGAACCCGGCTGGTTTGACAGTGTGACGAATCCATGGGAAGGCGATGTTGAAGGGTGGCGTCTGTGGGGCAGCAGCGGTCAAAATGTGGATGACGTCCTTCGTTATCTGAATTTCTCAGATCGTGACGGAAACGCCGCCTCTACGGATGGTGATGTTGAGGCACGGGTACGGATAATGGAGGCCATGTTGCGTTGGAGGTGTGGAGTGCCAACCGCGCCTGACACTATATGTAAGCTCAACTTATCGTTGACGTGTCGCAAGATCGAGCTAACCTGATCGCAACAGGGTCGTATCCTTTCCAAACGGATGATCCTTTTGTCATCGAAACCTGCCCCCATATCTTCTTTGCCGGCAACCAACCGCGTTTCAAGACTGCGGTTATTGAGGGCGATATGCCACTCAAATTAAATGGCGCAGACACAGAAATGACAGGCACCGAGGACAATGCTTCCGAGCCGCGGGTTCGTCTTCTATCGATCCCCAAATTTAGAGAGACTGGCGAGCTAGTCTTGGTTGATGTCGAGACACTAGAAGTTGAAGTGGTCAAGTTTGGAGCGTTCGCCGGTCAACAAGAAAAACAATGATATGCTCCGACTTCCACTGCAGAAAAAGGGAAAAAACTATAGATATCATGAATACCCTAATGTACTTTTTTATACCACGAACCCTGGACCCTGGCGCATACGCTCCAACGATTGTATAGTTTCCTGAGACAGCCGGCCCGATGCCAAGACCTGCACGGAAAAGCTACGGTTCGTCGCCCAAATTGAGGATTTTTGACTGCATACAACCCAACCATCAATCTACACGGGGGGACTCCGCGGCTCTGATACGATTGATCACTCGCCTGCAACAGATACCTAGTATAAACCAATAGATTAGGCGATTGGCAAAGATGTTACTCAACGAAAAGACTGGTAAGCAACCGGGAAACATTCCGCCGATATGCTGGCCCAAGCCAAGGCTCCTAAAACCCGGATCTATATAGCCATTTCCACCTCCAAGGTGCTGCTTGTACCGTACTCCAAGTGGCATGTCCCCAGATATCATGATTGGATGAAGGATGAGGTAAGATAGATTGTGTCATATACCTCCGTTACGCCTCCCCCGTACTTGTTCTGGTTCTCTCCATCAATGGAACCCCCAAATCATGGCAAGCATGTACAACTAATGCCAGGGACCAATGCCAGGAAATCCAAGAAGCCACGGCTTCTGAACCCCTCTCCCTAGAGGAGGAGTACTCCATGCAACAAAGCTGGCGCCAGGACCCGGACAAACTGACCCTCATCGTCTGCCAACCTACAACAACAACGAGCTCCTCCGAGTCCGGAGGAGGCGAGGTCCAACTCGACGACCAACTCGACGACGACCCCAGCCGCATGGTGGGGGACATCAACCTCTTCCTCCGCGTCGACGACGGCGAAGAAGGGGAGTCCGACCCGCAACTCGTCGGGGAGATCGAGCTCATGATCGCCGAGAAGCGCAACCAACGGCGGGGATTCGGCAAGGCCGCGCTCCACACCTTCCTCCGGTTCATCGTGGACCACGAGGCCGAGATCCTGGAGGAGTTTGTGGCGGGCGATGCCGCCGCGTCGCAGGCCCTGACGGGTGCCGGGTTGCAACAGCGGCCGTGGAGGTTCGCGTGCCTGAGCGTGAAGATCGGACAGGCCAATGAGCGGAGTCTGGCGCTGTTTGAGGGCGCCGGGTTCCAGAAGGTCACACCGGAGCCGAACTATTTTGGGGAGTTTGAGTTGCGGCGGTTGCGGGAGAGTTTGGAGCGCGCGGCAGTGGATGAGAGTCTTGATGGGGCTGGGGTTCGGGGGTATGCTGAGTTGGCGTATACGAGGGTTCAGTAAGGGCTACCGGTCATCTATCATTGATTGGGCTTAGGGGGGAAAGAGCGGGCTGCTGCTTCGATGTTAATCTACGGTCATACCCCCCAGATCCGCAACGTCACATCTACAATCTGCACAGCTTCCTGCAGTGAGCCGGTGTTGCTATGCCAGACCAAACGACTGGTGAGTGACGACTGTATGCTGTGCGATCATCGTCCATCCGCCCCATCAACCAAAGCAATATTAATAACGATTGCCAACGATCACGGGAGTCTTTTCAGTCTTTTTTCCTCTTTCTTTTCTTTCTTTTTGTCTTTATCAAACGCCGTAAGGATCTAAAAAGAGCTCCGACGAGTGCCGGATACTGGCAACAGAAATGCAGTCATGTTTAGGAGTTCTACGACCGGCACGAGCTCGATATGCCAATTCATCACTGGAATAGCAGTTGCCGGCCAGGCGGGAGACAACTCGGTCCCCGCCGTGTACCTCACCCAAACAGAAGCTATTCCATGCAAGACGGAAACCCCATCAATCTTTCAATTATCAATCGACACAAGAATTCCATTCCTGTTGCTTCGAAAAGAGGTGATATAAAATTTCCATGCGCCGTTTGCGTCCGTTTTCACATCCGAGCTCCACTTCTTCACCTTACTCTTGGCATGTCGAGGATCGTTTCCGACGAGAGGCGTTGCGTTGCGCGGTAAAGGGGGGCTAGGTAGTTTATTTACAAAGCCTTCTTCTTGTCACCGTTGGTGACATCGACAACCTTGAGAGCTGTTTGGTGGGAGGAGGGAAGGCCATTGACGTCAGCGGATGATGTCCCGAGGCAGGATGGTGGGTGGTCATCCCAGATTGGCGGGGAAGGGGGAAGGGGGAAGGTAGAATTCTTATCGAGAAGGTGAAGACGCACCAGGGGGAAGGCTCTGCTTGAGCTTGTCGGCCTTGTCGGAGTCCTTCAGGACAAGGGTGTAGACGTAGCGGGAGCAGCGGACCTTGAACTTGATCTGCTGGGTGTTGCGGTTGCGCTTGATGCGGGCAGCTGTAGGTCATGAAACGACGAGAGGGGGGATGGCATTAGCCTCAATGACATGACATCAGAGTATATATTGTTATCAGGAGTTGGGTTGGGACCATCATATTGGTGCTGGTCCCAAGGTGACTCTCCGCGGATGATCCCCCCGCCTTAGGTTGGAACCCCAAGCTTCCAGATCCGAGACCGGTCCAGGTGTGCCATCATTCATTTTCGGGGGATTGGGAGGGAGGGGGA